CCAATCCACAAAGGAAACCTTGGCAATTATCAAATTTACTCAGGGGAGCTGCTCATCAAAATGTTTTTGCTCAGGAAATCTGCACCATAAATCCCACAAAATATCTGTTCGTATGTGTCGGCATATATGTTTGCATGGAAGTTAGTGCATGTAACTGCAATTTTACACAATTTTTCAATTTATCCACTTTTATCCACATTTGTATTTAAAGCACTTGTCCTTTGGAAGCCATTCAAGGTGCAATGTTTTGCTAAAGGACACGTGAAAAGGAGGAACAAAGCAACAAATCCTGTATTTAATGGACTTCCAAATGTGTAATTGACTGAAATTAAAAATCTTGGATGTTGGTCACTTTCAATAACATGCACATCAGGGATTCTAAGATTGTATTTATGAAGTCCGGAGTACCAGGTGTCCACATCCATAATTCAGAGGCTTAAAGTAATCATCCTGCTAACTTCCTCAGGGTCCCCAACGGACGCTGAAGCAATTCATCTGGGTTTGTTTCGATGGTTATTCCAAATTAGATATACTGGTGTTATACCTAGTGATGGTTTTGGTTTTTTATTTACACAAGTGACCAAACGGTGCCAAAACAACAATTGACGACTTTGAAAAAAGTATTTCCGCGTCGGCTATAAACTCTCTTGCCCACCTCAGGTTCTTGGAGGCGAAGAAGATATGAGGGACGGCAGATTGCAGAAAATCACTCTCATAGCAAAGCGAATGATACGCTGCAGTATTCCGTTGTCCTTGGCGGTTGCTGCAGCGTACCAGACAGTGATGGAGAAGCAACATTCAGTTGTTTTCACATTAGAGTGAAGTTAAGAGGCGGTTCTTCTTCTGGATTACGCCCCGGAAAGCACCTGGAGCCAAAGGTGTAAGTGGACATGTCTGAATATGTATTGCATCGAAGGACTGTTTTAAATGTGTTGCAATAATAACTAATAAGTCTTTTTAATAGGCTTTGCTCGAATATAAATCTTCACTGAAGGTAGAAAAGGACATTTACATATGAGCGAGACTTTATCTACAGTTTGGTCCCGGTGTGGTTCCCTGTTATTGTTTTTTATATTTTAATTATCCTATTGATATTAATACTTTTACTGATATAGTTATATTTCATTCAGAGGCGGTATTTAACATTGGCTATCGTCCGTCACACGCACATACAGCTCGAGTATGTGTCAAAGTCAAGTTTAGCTAGAATGACCTCCTCACATCAACACTGTATTATCTAGTGAATGTGCTCGGTGATGCCCATGTGGTCGCAGCACATATTCCCTCCACAAGAACACCTCGCAGGGATGTCCGTGATGTTGAGACGCTCCTCGTAGAGGGACTCTTCATTTCATGCATGCGTTCCCCCGAGATGCCCTCCCTCAGATGCATGAGGTCAAGGAAAAAGGTGCAGTGGTCACGGCCTTCTTTGTGCTGAAGGGGAGCCATATAGGTCTTAATACAGGGAGATGGAAACATGTTTGCGAATATGGGGGAACAATTCCCCCTAGTTGAAGTGTGTTGTGTGAATTAGAGGCACATTTTAAAGCAATGCAGTTTATCTGCCGCCAGGGAGATAAAGGGGATCGAAGGCCATACACAAGATCGCAAGCAATCTTGGTGAAGTGGTTGAAATCTTCCCTTATGAAATGAGACAATGAGCCAAGCCAAAGGCTAAAGTTAGATTTCCGCCGTCATGGGCCATCAATGGGGGGAAAATGAAACACAAAAATACAGTATGTAAGACGGACTGTTGTGCACAGATATGTCTTGAACCATTTTTTTTGGGGGGGGGGGGTTTGCTTAGAAAAAGTCATTGCTATCGCCGGGGCACATGAAAATAATAAAATAATAATTTAGAAAAACATAGGTAGCACAGAGGGGTTTGGACAAAGAAGTGTAAGGATTGGACCCATTGGACTCATTTTGGAGGTTAGTGGTCCGGATGAACGGAAGTGCGATATACTGAGAAGTGTTCCTACATTACATTTATCTAGATTAATATCAATGAACATAGACGTAATACCAGAAACAACCTTGCTATATAGTGACATGGTTGCGCCTCAGCAGCGGCGTGATTAAAAGGTGGTTGATGTTACGCTACTGTAGTTTAGCCGCCATTTGCCATTTCCTGATGGCCGGTGTCTCTTGACAGTCAAGGCGCCCCCTGGTATACATGCAGATTTTACCAAGTTAATTGGTTTTACTCTGCTCTTCCTAAAGGTTTCTTCATTTATTTGTATTTTTTATCCTAACCCTAAGAACTATTCAGATGGTGTCCATGTTTCCTGTTTACATGTTTACTGTTTGCCTGAAGTTCTATTTCATTCTTACTGACCGCCAGAGGCAGTGCTTCACACTGGATTATCTTCTGTGTTGCGCATGCGCAGGTCAAGTTTTTATTCCGACAAAGTCAACTGTGACCTCAGAAGACCCCCCGAGTACAAGTACCGGTTTCATCCTGAGATCAGTCCTATTTCATCTTCTCGCTACGCAGGTACCTACCCTGGCAGCTAAGCTTAAACAAGCAATTTCTATAATATTGAGACATATTTGGGCTTATTGCGTGTTGCCTTGTGACCATTGGTTGGAGCTGCGGACCTTCCGCCCTCCAAAGGCTGTGACAAGCTGCCCCTCTAAGAGGGAATGGCGTGCATTGTCATGTTGAGGACCACCTAAAGCGCAAAGAATGCAATCGCTGAGATCGATTCAAATTATTTCTAACCGCCGTGGGTTATTACGGTTGGCAGCGCACTGCTGCGCTGAGCTGACCAAGGGGCTCGTTAACGAGAGCGTAGAGGAAGCTAAGCCGTGGCACCGTCCGTCCCAGTAAGCGCCGTACGCTAACTTGTGAGATACTAACTTGACGTTAGTTAAAGTTAGATCAAGACTTAGTCTACATTGTTTATAAACATTACAGCTATCACAGTTAGCATTGTGTTCTCGCCCAGACTAACTTGGTTGATGTGTTGAAGGTTGACTAATTTGGTCAGCGGTAACACTTTCTGCATTTGTTTGTAAGCATTACGGCTATCAAAGTTAGCGGGGTGGCCGCGCTCAGACCAACTGATGTGGTAATAATTTACTAGATCAATAGTAACACGTTGTACATTTGTTTTATAAACATTATGGCTGTCACAGTTACCAGAGTGTTCTCGCTCAGATTAACTCAGTGTGGTGGCGGACGTGGTTTGGCTCGGCTGCAGAAGGGACGGAGAACGGAGTGGTTCGGGTAACGGTGCCAGGAGGAGGCATAATTGGCCTCAGGTGTGTTAATCGGTGTGTGTGTTTGTCCTGCTGAGGGCGCTGAGCAGACGAGGAAGCCGGAGCCGATCGCGTGTTATTGTGTGAATAAAAGCATATACAATGGACCCTGTGAACTTCCTTGCTAGCGAGGCAAATCTCTGCTCGCGCTCAAAGGTGTTTTCTGTGCACTCGCTGTTGTTCTTTTGGACAGTAAGTGGGAAGAGCCAGTCACCATGGTAACTCTAATTGGTTACAAACCCCGTCTTTGGATTAGCCTCGCAAGCAAGGAAGTTCACGTTCCGCTAGCGAGCAAATATCTTGCGCGAGACAGACTTTTGCCCGTGAATGTTTGATTCTTCGCGCGTGAACCTCTTTCTCAAATTTTGACAGTGATTTGCCGCCAGAATTGAATCTTCCTTTTCTATCTTCTCCAATCTCCTAAAAACCCCTAGTCCTCCTCCCCCCTCCACCCTTCTTCCGGGAGACTTTGTCAACTACTTTACCAAGAAAATACCTGACATACGCTCCTCTTTCTCAAACCCACCTCCTACTACTCGCGTCCCACCGACTTGACCCCCCTATCTCCTTACCAAATTCTTACCCTAGTAACCACCTGCCCTCTTTCCCCATTCCATCACATCTTCTACAATCTGTCGCTCCTGACCTTCTTCTTTTCCTCACCTGTCTTATCAACAATACTCTGTTATCTGGCTGTTTTCCCAATTCTTTAAAGGAGGCAAGAGTTAACCCACTCTTTAACCAACTATCCTCCGATCTCCATCGTAACAACCTCCTTGACCCCCACCAGTCAGGCTTCAAGGCCGTTCCACAGAGACTGCTCTCCTTGCTGTCTCAGAGCAACTCCACACTGCTAGAGCCGCCTCTCTCTCCTCTGTCCTCGTCCTTCTGGACCTCTCTGCTGCATTTGACACAGTCAACCAACAGATCCTTATTCCTCCCTTCAGGAACTTGGTGTCACAGGCTCTGCTCTCTCCCTTCTCTCGTCCTACCTCGACGAGAGAAGGGAGACCTGGAGAGGATCTGTGTCGGAACCATGTCGTCTTACTACTAGAATTCCTCAGGGTTCCGTCCTTGGTCCCCTCCTCTTCTCGCTCTACACCAACTACACCACCAAGAACTATTTTGTTAATATCTCGAGTCCAGATTAATGCCGGTGATTTACCTATGTAAATGTTCTGTTGGGTGACTTCCTGTCAGCCTGGCAAGGAATGAAACAGTCACTGACATGTGACACATCGGAGCTAGACTCCGATGATGGAAATGAGGAAGTTGGTCGATACAAAAGAACACCTTAAACCTAATGTACTATTTTGTACTGGATTTAGGGGTCGACTGGAGCCACAAACCGACTTGAACTGACCGACTTTGTTCTTTATTCAGCCATGTCATTTATTTTAGTTGTTCATGTAATATTTCCATGGTATTGGAATCGGTCCAACAGACACATGGAGATACTCATGTCGGGAAACAAACAGGAAGTTGGCCTCAACAGGGCCTCTAATTATAGCGTGGGAGGTAGCTCACCACTTCGTGCCTCCTGTGGCAAGGAGGGCAATTGCATTCAGTTTCTAACAATCATGTTGATGATATATTTGTCATGCTTTCTGTTCACTTGGTCCAACTAAATATTTCAACTCTCTTATTTGAGTTCGAAGGAAATGTGACTTTCATAGTATTTTTACTTAAAAGTATGCAATGTTTCAAATGACCATTTAGTTAGAAGAAACACAATGTCTTGTTGCAAAAATGTATTTCTTGCATTAAAATGAAGTTTTTACATTATAACATGCAGACATCTAACAACTTCTTTACTGTATTTAAACAAAATATTCAGTGACAGAATATTCACAAAAAGAAAAACCTTCAAGGCAATGTGAGATGGACTTCATCACTTTACAAATAATGATCAACCCCATCCATCTTTTTCTCGAGGCAGTTCAAAATGTCTTTAGTGCCTGCAGCTTTGTAGACCTCTAGCACCCTTGCGACCAAGTCATCAACGACTGCGTCCAGCTGGACCCTGCTTTGGATCAAGGACCAGAGAGTAGAAACGGTCCGCCGGGCTCACGTCGTAGCACAAGAATGTTGCTATCCACTTGCGCACTCCTTTGCTGTGAAAGTTTTTGGCCTAGAGAAGAGAAAGTGTCTTTAGCAGGGAAGAAACACGGAGAAGACAGTTAATCTTACATGGCCCAAGACAGCGGTGCAGAGGTCAGTGAAGTTCAGCCGGCCAGGCAGACCATTTGCAGCCAGGCAGCCTGCATCCACTGCAGCAGCAGGTGTGTGACTGTCAAACCAGATGATTTGTTTGAGGGTTACACTTTTGCCGCAACCTCAGCCATCTCTCAAACCAGGAGTATTCGTCTTGGGCATTCTGTTAGCCCGACTAAAATTCATGAGCATGCGAGTGGCGAACTTAATTCCCTTCGCATTGGTTAAGGTATGCCTTGTGCACTGTGTGCCTTAACGTTAGCCAAAGGTAGGTCCCTAACTAGCGTTAGCTGCAGACATTTTAGCCAAAACACAAGTAGTCCATAAACTGACCATAGCCCCTGTCATTACATGAACGTTGGCTTGATTAAATTATATTTTTGTAAATGTCCTCTGAAACATTAATATATTGATAGGACTTCATATACTATTGTTGGACAACCGTTCTATTGTGTCTGGGTCGGGTTATCGGGATGTACGCGGCTCAATCGTTGAACTAAGACTCAGACTAAACACTGTACTATTTGCGATATTGTAACAAGTGCATTAAACTAACCTCTAGTCTAATGCATTTTTGGACAATACTGTCAACAAAAAAAAAACGTTTGGCTTGAATGATATTTTGATGGATCCACTCACCTCAGGCTTTCTTTCTTTTCCGAGATGTCGCGCCATTTTTCAAATGCCGACTCACGTTCATCGTCTCGTTGGTTAACGATATTCATCCGCCAGTTGGTTCGCTGAGCTGACGTACTGCGTGATGAGGTCCAGGTCATGTCTGTGATCCGGCTGTTCAGAACGTATTAATCCACCGCCTGGTTTAGGTTAGTTTGCCGTCTGGTATTTCCATTGGTTAGTGATGCAGCTGAGCAGACAGACAGCTCGCAGTTTGCGACCTGGTACAGTCAGATTATACATAACTTCAAGCCTCAATATAATTTAAATGGATAAGTAGTAAAAAATAAGACACCCCATACACAGTTCACGAAGGTAAAAATTTCCAAAACATTTAGTAGCAGAATGTATGCGTTTGTATTTCTGTGTACATCGTGACAATTTAAAATGGGAGTCCAATGGAAATTGAATCGCTTCAAGTGGCCGTTTGAGGAACTGCAGTAATTGGCACTGCATTTTGACTGTTGGACAAATAATTAAAACTTGTTTAAATTTACAATTTGTTGAACTGGCTTAAAAACCTGAGTTGGAGTACTGAAAACAATTAAGCTGTAATTGTATAAATCATTATGATAAAGTAAATAACACAAAGACGTTATTATGACTTATTGTCCTTTAAAATCCTTTTATAAAGTGCAGACATATAACTGTGTGTAAAATAATAAAAATAGTTGCAAAATTATAAAGGAGAGAAATTTTCCATATTAATTTAGAATGGACGAAAATGGTATAACTACTTATTTTGCTTACAATATGTCAGCTCTCAATTGTGTGCAAGAGTGCTCTTGGGAGTGTGTCAATTCTGTTCTTACCTAAGAACAAATCCCAAATAAGAAAAAACATCAGTAAATTGTATTCTACTATTTTCAGTGCTGTTGCTGCTATTATTATTTGTAGTACTAATTTAACTTAATACTATTACAGTTTATTATATGAAAAATTAAGATCCATTAAACGTATAGTAAATCTTTTACACAATTTTACTCTGTCCATTACGATAGCGGGATCCCTCCACTTCCGCTCTCCCTCTTCTTTTGTTTTTAAGGCAGGGGGGTCCTATACCGAAATGAGGGTCCTGGGACAGAGCATCTTGCATACATCTTGTACATACCTTTGAGAGCAAATTTTTCATTTTTAAATGAGTTGTGATTCCCATTAATACGATAAAGTAACCAGAAAGCAGGCCACTTAAATTACAGAATACATAAATAATTATTCCCTGAAGCACAAAAAAATGATTGACCTTCCAAAATTAAAATGAATGTTCGAGGGTGGGTAAGTAAGGGCAATCGAAAAGCATTGCATGTCTCCAATCTGTGGAGCCTGTCAGATAAAAATGGTAAATACATTGTTTAACAGATTACACCGACACACACAATCAAAAAGGCATCCATGCAAACAAACACCTTTGCAAATATGCTCTCCTCCACATCATATTTCATTTAACTGTTAAATGTGGCTTTACAGCATGAAAGCATGAGCTAAATGGAGAATGACAGCTGCAAATAGTCTCTCAGAGCTAGGCTTTATTGTTCCTTTAAATTACTATCTCAATAGTTTGTTGCCATCAATAGTCATGTCTGCCTTGAGTAGAAAATACAGCGTTCAAACCAGTATTATAGAGCAGGCAGTCTTTGAAGTACACACACTACCCCTGGCAGAAATCAATAGAAGGAGGATGAAATGCACTTCCATTTAATTAAGATAACCAGCACATTCTCACTTATAATCTATTTTCTTCTCCATTTCACTCTCCCTCCATCTTTCTCTCTGTGCTGCTTGGCAGGCCATTCCCCTGGAGGGGGTGTGTGTGTGTCAGAGGGGGGGTGTTGTTGGGAGGAATCTTGATTTAATCGTTTCCCAGATCGGCGCCATGTTTTTCTTCCCCTGAGGCATGTTCTCCCTCCCCCACCCCCACAACCTCCTCTACAAAATACTGTCTAGGGACTGTTCTGCAACCAAAATGTGTTTGCCCCGGGGCAAATGAACTACTGAAGTTGACATCTTCAGCTGAACGGGATACAATTCATTTTATGGGACTGAGTGACAACATTTTCGGTATTTTGTAGCGAATAAGTGCTGCTTTGGCTTCTGAAGAGGAAAATGAGAGGACATCATATACCAAGAAATGACAATCCAAAGGATGATGATTGTCTCACCCCTCATGCTGCTGTTCGCTCTGCAGTGGTCCTGCCTTACCCCTGGCTTACCACTCAATGTTTCAATCATTTCTGTCATTTAACGTACTGTACATCTTTTATGTTGTTCGTTCTGTATTCTCCTGTTCTTAAGGTTTCTTCCTTTTAAATCAATTTTAAAAACATCCCCTTTGTCAAACCAACTGTAAATCCACTTCATTATTGGAATTAAATAAAGAAGAATTCAGACAGTCTCCAACAGTTTACATGTTCACTGTAAGGTTTTACATTAAAGCAAACATTTCAGCAAACTTTCCAGATGTACTGTATCCTCTGCTGCTGCCATTATAATTATTATTAGTAGTAATTTTATGTACTATTCAATATTATGAATCATTTCAGTCATATGCATTAATATAACATAATAACCCAGCAGCCCTTCTTTGTGGAGTTTGCATGATCTCCCTGGCTATACCTGGCTCAAGGTGTACTTGGGGTCATTTAGCTGACGCTTTCATCCAAAGCGACTTACATTGCAATAAGGGGTTAGGCGTCTTGCTCTGGGACACTGAGTTGGGACATGGGGCAGCAAGGACTCAAACCACCAACCTTGCGGTTCCAAGTGCACCCTCTCTACCCCTGCGCCACGACAACCCCTCTATTGTCCGATGATCCGGGGATTGACTCCAGCCCTCCCGCAACCCTCTATGGATAAGCGTATAAAAAATGATTGTAAATCTGACTTCAACATCCAGACAGAGAAGTCCTCTGACCTCTTAAACCTACTTTCTTCCTTTGCTTTGTCCCCCAGTCCCTCTCCTCCTACTCACAAAGCCGGCAATCACCTTGACTACATCTTCACCAGAAACTGCTCTACCACTAACCTCTCTGTAACTCCACTTCATGTGTCTGACCACTTCTTCATCCCTTACTCTCTATAACTAACGACTCCATTGACTGACTCTGTACCCGTTCGTCGCAACTTTCGCTCCCTCCTCTCTGGCCTCCTCTGTTCTATCAGCTCTCCCTTCAACTGATTCCTTCTCACTCTTGCATCCGAACGCTGCTGCAGAGACTCTCCTCTCAACTCTTTCCTCCTCTCTAGACTCTCTCTGCCCTCTTACGACACGACGGACTGGCAAATCCCCTCCGGCTCCGTGTCGGTCTGATCCGGTGCCATGAGAGCCACCATGCGAGCATCGGAAAGGAGATGGCGTAAATATAAACAACCTGAGGACCTGCTTGTGTTTCAATCTCTTCTCTCCTCTTTTTCTGCTTCTATCTCTGCTGCCAAAAGCTCTTTCTACCAATCCAGACTCTTTTCTATCTTCTCCAATCTCCTCTACCCCCCTAGTCCTCCTCCCCCCTCCACCCTTCTTGCAGGTGACTTTGTCAACTACTTTAGCAAGAAAATAGCTGACATACGCTCCTCTTTCTCAAACCCACCTCCTACTTCCTGCATCCCACTGACTTCACCTCTTTCGCCCTCACGTTCCTCTTTCACCGCCCTCTCTCCTAACCAAATTCTTACCCTAGTAACCTCTGCCCGTCCAACCACCTGCCCTCTTGACCCCATTCCATCACATGTTATTTATCTTATCTATTGCACCTGACCTTCTTCTTTTCCTCACCTGTCTCATCAACAATGCTCTGTTATCTGGCTGTTTTCCCAATTCTCTGAAGGAGGCAAGAGTTAACCCTCTCCTGAAGAAACCCACCCTCAACCCTTCTGAAGAAAACAACTACAGACCCTTTCTGTCCAAAACTCTTGAACGTGCTATCTTTAACCAACTCTCCTATCTCCACCATAACAACCTCCTTGACCCCCACCAGTCAGGCTTCAAGGCCGTTCCACAGAGACTGCTCTCCTTGCTGTCTCAGAGCATCTCCACACTGCTAGAGCTCCTCTCTCTCCTCTGTCCTCGTCCTTCTGGACCTCTCTGCTGCATTTGACACAGTCAACCACCAGATCCTTATTTCCTTCCTTCAGGAACTTGGTGTCTCAGGCTCTGCTCTCTCCCTTCTCTCGTCCTACTTCGACGGCCGCACCTACCGGGTAACCTGGCGAGGATCTGTGTCGGAACCTTGTCCTCTTACTACGGGAGTTCCTCAGGGTTCCGTGCTGGGTCCCCTCCTCTTCTCTCTCTACATCAACTCTCTTGGCGCTGTCATTCGCTCACATGGCTTCTCCTACCACAGCTATGCCGATGACACCCAACTAATTCTATCCTTCCCTCACTCGGATCTCTGCCTGTCTGACTGACATCTCTCAGTGGATCCGCCCACCATCTGAAAATCAACCCCGACAAGACTGAACTACTTCTCCGACCCAGGACCTGACGGTCAACTTTGGCAACTCCGTGTTAACGCCCACTTTAACCGCTAGGAACCTCGGCGTCACAATCGACAGCCGACTCTCCCTGACTCCAACATCACTGATAACACCATCCTGTAGATAAACGCTCTACAACATCAGGAGAATACGTCCTCTTCTCACTCAGAAGGCCCAGGTACTGATTCAGGCTCTTGTCGTCTCCCACCTGGACTACTGTAACTCCCTCCTGCAGGTCTCCTGCTACCACCATTCCACCTCTGCAGCTCATCCAGAATGCAGCAGCTCCACTGGTTTTTAACCTTCCTAAGTTCTCCCTCACTCCTCCACTCCTCCGCTCTCTTCACTGGTACCGGTGGCTCATCCAGTTCTAAACATGGTGCTCACGTACCATGCTGTGAATGGATGGGGTCCAGCTTACATCCAGGACCTGGTCCAACCCGACATCCCGACCCGCACTCTCCGCTCTGCATGTGATAAACTGCTTGTTCCTCCTCACTGAGATCAAAACACTCGACTAGATCACCACTCTTTGCTGTCCTGCTCCTAAATGGTGGAAGGAGGTCTCTGAAGACATCAGGACCACAGAGAGCCTTCACATCTTCAGACTAAAGACACACCTCTTCACACTCTCTTATATTGGTTCTTATCTACAGCAAATTGTAACTTGGCTTATTTGAGGAAATTGCACTTTCTAGTTTCTTGTTCTTCTGAGTTTGTGTCCTTATGGTTGAAATGTTCTTATTGTAAGTCGCTTTGGATAAAAGCCTCAGCTAAATGACATGTGATGTAATGATTCCTTCTGCTTTAAGTTCAGCATTGTGTCTCTATCTATCAGAGCACTATCGTGCCCCCGCATTTCTCTAACGTCATGACTTACAAATCTAAGTTGAGCTGATATCCAAAGAAGCATCAACCTTCGTTGACCTAACACGTAAAGATTAAAGAATTTAAGACTGTTCTTTTGCTTACAGAAAGCCTGCACATCACAGCTTCCATCAGCCAGGAGAAAGAATGTTTAGTGAGGAAGAGGAGATGCCTGTTGTTGTGAAAACCGATCCTGAGTGAATGTAACTCATAAATCTGTATAAATTGTACGGCATTTAAAAATATTACAAAACACGTGCACACACATGGTAAGAAAACACAAAGCGTCACACTCTCTTTCTATTCAGGTTGGCTTAATTACTCTACATGCACCCGCAGTGAGAAGGAGAGTAGTAGTGAAGTAAAGACATTAGACCATCAAGCGGATGACACCACACTTCTCTCAAACACTCACAGAGTAAGCGTCGTTTTTCATAGAGGCCGTAAAGGAAAGATTTCGAAAAAGCTGTACCTTTGCTTTTAGCTAGAGGGGCAGGAGGAGACAGAAGAGAGGATCCACAACCGAGACAGGGAAGAAAAAGAAGACACGTGAGACAATGTACAATGGCAGCTGTACATCACTAAACAAATGAAACATGCAACCACAGCAGGATTCCAGGATCTGTGAATGTCACAACAACACAGAGAACTACACACACATGTTTTTAGGCTTCTCGGGTTAAGAAGATGTCAATAAATAAATCCTTTTTAGGACAATATTATTACTGAATGCATTGGTATTGTATGTAATAATAAGTGTCTACTGGTATTGTTCATATTAAGATTGTTATATCATTCATGATGTCATTCTATATTTGGAAATACTCCATTTTATATTGTTGCATTTACACAATGTAGGAGAACTTTTAAAAAGCAAATGTACCACAGTTAAGGATGAGGTTTAACGAGAACACATGTTTTCAGTTAGATACTTCGGTAAGGTGGCCTCTTTCGTCATGGGTACAACAACAACCTGTTGATTAGCATTTGAGCTGTTAATAGAAATAAATAGAAAACAAACAACGGCGCCCCGTGTTAAAGACATTTTGGTGATCCATCCCAAGTATAAATAGTACAAATTAGAGAGGTACCACCTTGGATATTTAGTTTTCTATAAAATGTTGATCACATGTGTGGACCATAATGTCTTAGCACATATTCTTAATTAAACTGTGATCATTTGTTGGAACTTTAAACATAAACTGAGTATTAGTAAGGGCTTGTTGTAACTTTAAACAGCTCTCTTGCTTAGGTGGAGGCCAGGGACTTTGCAGCTCTTCATAGCGGCAGTGTGTTTTGGATTCATAGGGCAGAATGAAAAAACCTCACTATAAAAATATGCAATTTCCTTTTCTTGGGCACAAAAACATGCGGTTGCACACTACAATCCCACACAAAGCACAGGCGTGACAGAAGAGAAGGGAGGAGGGGCATACCTTGTTCTGCCATCATATGTGCAAGGCCTTGAAAAGGAAAAGGAGAGGAAGGTGAAAAGGACAGAACCCTTGAGCAAAGAGAACACTTGGTCTCAATACACTGTGGTATTGTGACGACACATGTTTTCTCAGGAGAGAAAGCATAGCATTAGAACACACTGACTTCTGTGGCTTTCCTCATTAGAAATACCAGCATGTTAGCAGAAGAGAAGCCTATGGAACAACATCGTACCTCCCCTTTGCTTAGTTTCAATAAGCAGCCTCACATTCACCACCATGCTACTTGGTATGTGCATTTCCAATTTGCACATGAATGAAATTGAAACTATTGCACACATACAATTAGTGTGTCATGGTTCTAGGCCTCCGCCAACCAGAGAGGTCTCCAAAATATGTTATTATTCAGTTCTGGCCAAATACATATCTTAAGAGGACAACGTGACTTTTGAAGAAATTTGCTTACAGGGTTATTCCGGAGAAATAACTTAACAAACGACCACAAGGACACCGAAAAACCCTGATATCTGCAGCCATGCTGTTAACATTAGACTCGCCTTGGATAAAAGCATCCGCTAAATGACATGTAATGTAATGTAATGCCTGAGGTGGAAATGTACCAGTTGCTTGATATTGCTGACAAAATGTTTGCAGCGTTCTAGCCTGTCTGCATATATGCAGCTATACCAATGGTTGCTGACAAATGATATATATATATATATTAGAATTAACTTTTTTCAAACTCACCTGGCATATTATTGTTGAACCCTGGAACACAAGGGGAGAGAGAAAATAAGCAAACAAAGCAAGTATTAGAAACATGCGTACTACTTGCATGAATATCATGCAAAAATATGATACACTTCATAGTCCATACAACGGGCACAGCCATGTGCATGCCATTAGCAATGTTGAAATGTTCTAACATTTAACATTTGGTCTGGAAGAGCTCGGTGTCATTAGATAAGATATCCAGCGTGATGCAGGGGCCTTTCTCCCTCCACGAGTTGGCCCCCGGATGACACACAGACGTATTCCGGAGTGTGACACCCTGCAGGTTATACAACATGCTGATGCTTTCCCTTTTCTAGGAGACACTGTAGTATAAAAGTGCCAAGGTTAATTCAGCCATGGGGCCACAAATATACGAATCCAAGACTCCCCTGGAAAGAAAATGATATCCATGAAACTTAGAATATTAGTGTGTGATCATAGAAATGCTCTCTGAATAGTGTCAATTCCTAAATGAAGCCACACACAGCTGCTTCCACTACCAATATTTGGGCTTTAAAATGATGCCAAACAATGCAAAATACAGAACACGGGCCCGAAAACCAAAGTTTTAGAGGCAGTGTGTGATGGTTGAGGTGCATAAATCCACTGTGGAGTCTCCTGACCCACAGTGAGGGCGTGTTAAAGATTAATGCAGGATTGTGGTCATCGTCTAAATAGACCCTGCAGACTGCTGGTTGGAGATGGATTACTTAAAGCAGCTGGTGTATAAGACTGGTATATGCTCCTGGTGTAAATGTAAATATAACTTGTATACAGGCGCTCATTTCCACTGGATGGCTCGGTTTAACATTTGCCTCTTCAGCTGACATCTCCCTTTTAGTGGAGGCAGGCTTCTCAGTTGGTCGCCGTATGAGCACGGTACTGCTGGGACGGCATTTTCTATGTCACAATTACCAAATCCTTTCATCACAACCTAAACAAAGGAACAATATTATAAATAACAACGTAAAGAAGAAGAATCGACAAAGTAAAAAACAACACAAATCTCTGGAAAGTCAATGTGATATTATGTAAGGAAGTGGTCATTTGGTGGAAGCAGTGCTCATCTTTCAGTTCCCTCTCCCCCTGATCTTCTGCCTGATTCCTCGTCAGGAGCCCAGTGTCTCTCCATCCTCTGTATCATCTGCTTTCTCTCCTGCCCATTTCATTATGTTCTTCTCTATCATGACCTACTTCCTTGGACAATTTAGTTCCTGTATTATGCCACTGTTTCTGTCACCGGGCTTTGGTGTGTGTGTGTGTGTGTGTGTGTGTGTGTGTGTGTGTGTGTGTGTGTGTGGACAGGGTGGCCTGCAAACACATAGATCTTTAAGTGATCACGGGTCCACAGCTCAGTGGCGGGCTGGCCTACATTGAACTTAATACTATGTGTCATGTGTGCTACGCACGTATACATCTCACCTCAGACATTTCCTCATCACCATTCTATGATGTGACTCAGCAGTTTGATCAACTTTGATAAACATATTTATATATTTAATCTAGGTGAGAGCATGACTCTCTCTTATGATTCAATAGTCAAGAGGATTAGAGCTCAAAGTGGATGATGTTTGGGATGAAGTAGAAACGCACAGTGATTAATAAGGTTATTGATAAAATGCTGCTTTCTTTCATCAGTGCTGGATAAACTAATTCCTTTAATGTCTCAACATGGAGGGTGTAGAAGCACATTGATGGTATGCAGAGAAACATTCCCACAGGGTGAGGGCCGGAGTCCTAATGGCGTTGAGGGCTTGATTATTACGATTTTCATCATCAATATTGTAACAGCCATCACCTCCTAAGCAGCAGCCATCTTTCATGTTGATGTGACCATAAGGTGGCTGGAGAAGCAGACCAGGAGGGCTGCTGAATCCATCTGCTTGTGTTGGGTGGAAGTCGGCCGGGTGCCACACGGAGCTGTAAAGCCAACTGACAGCTGCTCCATTCCCTAGTCTCTGCCTGACCTTGTTCATGTGTTTAATCTACAACTCTACGTTTTGCGGCTTTTGTAACGACAACTTGCACATATTCTTTGGCTAAGAAGTGTAACTGCTTTTCAGAATATGGCATTCACCAATTACAACACTGAGAACAAGTGGTTGTGACTCTGTTAGTTCAAACTTCGACAAAGACCAGATCTACTACTCTTATTCTTACCTTCCACAATAAAAGATGATTAAGACCATTATCTTTCCAGGTAATGTGGCTTCCTACCTCACTCCAAAGACGTGTTAGGTTGATTGGACTCTAAGTGATCCAAAGCTTAGGACCATTGACCGAGTGGTGGTGTTGGATGTGTTGGGAGGCTTGGAACGGGTTCTCACTGTCCAATCAAATAATAAAAACCATATCCGATAAAAGCTTTGCTGCCATGTGGTTCATATATATGAGTGTTCTCCCTCCTTAAAAACACATTCATGGACAGAATGAGCTGAATTAGGAGGGTGCAAAGCGTCCCACATGTCATGAACAATATATGTCCATATAAGTTTGATGGAAGGTTACTGAACAAAAGAGGAAATAGAAGTTATTGATTAATGCAGAATGAATGAGCAGTGGAGGGGTGGTGAGATATTTTATGCTTGTGTAAATCATTTAAATAAAGTGCATTAATATATGTGTAAAATGTTTGATGTCATTGTCTCAGCCTCAGGCAGCCTCATTAGGTCTGTTAACTATCTCTGATGCGTGCTTCCACTCACCTGTCTGCCTGGCAGGAGGCAACCAGGCATAAATCCACCCTGGGAACTGATCCCAATGTGGAGCATGTGAATCAGTGTTAAGAAAATGGCATACCCATGATAAAAAGGTCTAACTGTAAGTACTGTGGGGATAAAGGGGAAGTATTCTGTAACAAATCAGTTTATATGTTACAGGTTATCAAAATAAATCAATACAACACACAAACATTATGACAATCTCCTGAATAAAAGTCACGGACGGCCCTGTGAGACATACATGGTGGCCCAGTGTGTGCACAGTACACATGGAACTACTGGGGAAAGCTTCTGCCTCACACCACAGAGCTGATTCAAACACTTTTTCCAGTCTATTGATCCTTGTTGACCCCACTGCGTCCACGTGAACCAGCCACTCAGAAGCCAAATGGGTAAAATAAGGCTTAAGAGTCAGGATTGTCTGATAAAACAACTGCATGGAAGGCGCTGAAGTTGCTAACAATGGCCGTGGTACTTATGTCAGCGTCTTCTGGGTTTTTTACTACTAAGAAGTTTGTATCTTATACAATAATAGAAATAATAAAACTACAAATACAATATATTGTTGAAATGAAATCTGCGGTTACTGGCTAGTTGTTGTAGCGGATAAACTAGCATGTTGCGATTCGTACTCAAGGGGATCAACGGTTGAACCAACTGGTCCACTGACAGGTTTCTTTTTGCTTGTTACTTTTTAAACAAGTTATTGTGAATTTACTGCGTCCCTTCAGATCTGAATGGGTCAGGGACGCAGGACGCGTACCTAGAAACATCACTGTAGAGTTATTACACCTTTTATCATGGGTATGCCATTTTCAAAGCAGAGGCCAAAAAAGGCCCAAATAAGCCACGGCGAGGTTAACAACAGCAGGGAGAGGTGAACAACTATGTATAATGCCTGCCTCCGTCTCAACATTTACCCTGCAGAGAACCACTGTGTCCCTAAAAGACAGTGGTTTGGACAACGTCCTGGACAAATGTCGATTGTAGGGCACTTAAAACACATAAGTTTAACTTAAGACTTTTAATGATTCAAATGAAAATAGGTACTAATTATGGCGTCAACCTGTGCATTACTACATCATTTTATCCTATTCAACATTTGTGTGAATCTTTCCTAAATCAGCATTAATCATGACTAAAAAATGGAGAGTAGAGCGAGCAATGCTAAATTATTTAGCAGATTAGAAGATCTGTAATGCCTGGTTGCTGTGGCCAACATAATCCCATCCTAGACTTGTACTAACAGTAGAAATCTCTTCATGTATTTAACTCTGCTGCTCAGAGCAGAGAGGGTTTCCTTCCAGCTGTAGCTGGACCTCCACGTGTCTGATGTTGTGACAAAGCAGATTTCCTTTAATACTTCTTAAGAATGCAAAGTGAAAGATATTTCAACCCCCCATGATAAATTACCGTCAAAATCTGCCACATCCCATGTGCCTGCTACCCTCAGACACCGAGGAACATCTTTGGGTTTGTTCAAAGAGTGCTTCTCTCACTTGGACCCAAACTACAATCACTCAAAAAGCTACTAATGCAGTGAGGAATTGTCTTCATGATGTTTATGGTCTGTGACATGCTGCGGTAGACCCAAGAACTTCACCCTTACTCTTTACTATGGAAAATGTTTTGTTCATGTTGTCCAGTTGACTATTGCATTTGTTTATCCGTTTGTTACAAACCATAGTCTTACTTTTCCATGATGCAAGGCATGCTTTTTTTCATATTGTGGGTAATTGCATGTTTTTTGAAAAAGTTTAGTTCATTCTAATATTTGAAACCAACAAACAAGTAACAGAACATTGATTCATATTTGATTAATTGCCTATAGTCTTAGAGTTAAATTGGATAGGACGGCCTTTTTTCTTTGGGTTTCCTTCAAATGCCCTTATAGCACTAAAAGGAGAGGCAATCAGGTTTTTTTGTTGCAATGTTTTAAAAGTTTGAGCAAAATGTCCACATTTCAAAACATGTCATTTTAAATGTTTTCATTTTTTAATCATGATTTAGATTAAGAAAATGCGTGAGGAACTTCCTTAGAAATAAACTTTGTCTTCCATTATAACTGTTCTGTCTTTGTTTCCGAAGCTTACAGTCTCCAGTTCAGAAACGAACTAGAGGCGATTTGATTATTTCTTAGTGAAGTGAATAGTTGGATTAGTAAAGTTAACTTTTTCTTATTAGTACTGCTTACTTAATATAACTCAAATCTTTAAGCTGACTGAACTGACTATTTATTGTCCACATAATTAATCATTTTAAGTTAACTATACTAATGTTTACTGCAGTTACATGAGTTGCCTAAACTTAGTTATTTTCAGTATTAACAACTTAAAATTAATGAGCGACTTTACTTAGAAATTTTGAGGCAATCGGTTTCCTGACTTTTTTCAAGTAAAGTCAACTTATTACATTTTACAGTGCAACACACACACACACACACACACACACACACACACACACACACACACAGAAAGACACCTTCCCTTTTTGTCAATAAAAAAACCCTAATCTTTAAATAGCAGAATCCCTCGTCTTTTGTCTGAAACCAGGGGATTTGGCGTCAGCACAAATGAGATGTAAATTCCATATTTGTGAGAGGTTAAGTAGAGGGCTCCAGTTCAGAGATGGGGGTAAAATAGCTAAATAAATATATTACAAAGAATTACCTCTGATCTGAATTGATTTAATGAAAATACTTTCAAGTCTAAATGGTATTGATTATCTAATAAGGGTTCAGATTAGTGTGTACTGGGAGCAGACTGAGAGATTTGTATTGATTGTGAATAATTAAGTACATAAGAGTTTATTTTCAGAGCGCAGAAAAAGCACAAGTTCAAAAACTACAAACCGCAAAACAGACATTATCTCTGTGTTAAGTGCCAAGGATTCATCAAATCACAGGAAACCCAAGCTTCCGCATAGAGCAATTGAAAGTGCCTTCTATGTGGCATGCAGGAGAGAAATAGTGGGGGGAAGGGGAATGAGAAGAAAATATTTTTTATATACAAATTTATTTGGTCTAAGCACAGGCAGCTGGGGAGCAATTGGAACACAGCTCTGGTAAATTCTCAGCACAAAAGAATGTGATTTAAAACATCTGGCATCTTGTGATTGGGTGAAGAAAGGGGCTCAGGAGGCCCCGTTCTCTCTGTAGGCACCCTTATCACTGCCAGCAGCACCCATCACATTCACCTCTGCCTCAATGGCTAATCACGCTTGGAATGGCTTCTGATTTTAAAACTCAGCTCCACATGAACACACGCACACACACACACACACACTCACACAAAGAGCGTGTATAAGATAATCATCATTGGGAGAGCAGAGTGCACATAGAAAGCTTCAGATCATGAACCGTCCTTGGACTAGAGAGATACAAAAAAACACTGAAACCTTTAAGGTTCTGACGTTGGTCATAAACCTTCCTGTGAAGTTAACAGAATGAATAGATTGACACTGTAAAATCCGCTGAATTCATGCACATGAAAAACAACAAACGGTTAAATCAAATGTGATAGTTGCTAGACAGCTACAGCTCTCCAGATGTGAAAATAAGCACTCAATGAAGCCAGGTCTTCATTTTTGATTGATTACGTGGATGATTATAGCTTAATACTTCACAAGCTTTAACTTTCTTTGTTCCCAGATTGCTGCATTATTGGCTACATTTCTAATTTGTATCTAATTCAAACCATGCCCTCAGGAATAGCATGGGGGCTATGTGGCAAACTTGGCATCATTTCTTTAGTTGTATTTGAAATATATAGTAGTATATAGTTTAAATACAAAAAAGGAAATTAGGTATGTTTAAGGTTGAATTGAGAGAATCTGTTTCACAGTTGGAGTCCTGCCAGAGTCGATCAGCATGAATGAATAAATCATGTGTCGTGCGTTACCTTCACTACAGAAGCGGCCCTTGTATTCGGTTTTGGAGCAGTCGCAGAAGGGCTCTCCGTCCACCACGGCGCACGTACCTCCATTCTCACATGGGTTCACCGTGCACCACCCTTCTGACTCCAGGGGCACCTTGAGGCTTCCCAGGAGCAGAGGTAGTGAAATACCATATTTGAGGTCTGTAATGGAGCCCCTGAAGGGCTGCGTGTTTCGCACCGTAGGCAGTGTGAGCGCACCTTGGCGGATATCCTGAGGCACTCCACCCAGGAACAGGTCGCTGACTATGTTCATGAACTGGCGCTGTGGCCGTACCTCGTCTGCTTTGGCCTGGCCGTCCAGTACCAGCACTGTGCGCAGGTTGTACCTGCTAAGACTGGCAAAGTGCCAGCTGCTGTCATCCACCCGTCTGTCAGACAAGACAGAGGTCTCAGCGCAGTCGATGCTGAAGCTCAGCTGCAGTCGGCCCCCCGCCACTGACAGCTGCAGAAAGTCACAGTAGCCTCCATCGTCAAAGTACAGCAGCAGCGCCTCCGAGGCCTCCGTCTTGAACTGGAAGCTGAGGTCGCCTCGGGTGCTGGCATCCCAGCGGAGGTAGCGGGCCCACTGACCTGGTGTGCCTAAAAATTCCAGTCCCAGACACGTGCTGAGGAGCACTTGTAGAGTGATATAAAAACCTACAAGACCCATGGCTGCAAATAATGTTTTAATCCGAGTAGGTGTCTGACGGAAAACTAATAATGGAAATGTTAGTGTGATCCAAACGATTTCTAAGATCCAAAGATTTATGAATAAAATGGGCAGTTATATTCTAATAAATATTTCTTATAAAAATAGATTTTCAAAAGGGAAAAAGGCAGCGGCTGGAGAACAGTAGTTGTGGTTAACAGTCTTAGTGTCACTATCTTTACATCAGTAAATGGTCCAGTAGTTGCAGGGCAGTGGTCGTACCACAGATTGTGCTGTTTTCCGAAGTAGGGTTACCGAGAGAGCGGCTAGGGACAGGTGATGTTTCAATATGTTTCTTTTACACTTCAGAACAGATGCTATTAAGACTTGTTCTGCGAGGTCTGATGGGATGGACTTTTCCAGATATCAGGGCGAGATGAATTTCCTCCATATTGTTCGTTGGGAGATGGAGCTGACAAGGGATCCACTGGCCTCTTTTACTTCCATCACTGTCAGAAAAAAAGAGAGGCAAGAGGTTACGATGGGTCCCATATTATTGATTTTACTACAGCACACATATCCTGCATCTAAATGTCATAATAGTTGCACATGAGTCACATAAGTGCAGGTACGCTCAGAGAAAAAAAAGCCAGAAACATCAGCAGTAATTTTGGTTTAACATCTTGTACTCGGGTAAAAAGTATCCAAACGCATTTACAGTGCATCCGGAAAGTATTCACAGCGCTTCACTTTTTCCACATTTTGTTATGTTACAGCCTTGTTCCAAAATGGATTAAATTCATTATTTTCCTCAACATTCTACACACAACAACCCATAATGACAAAGTGAAAACAGTTTTTTGCAAATCTGTTAAAAATAAAGAACGAAAACATAACATGTACATAAGTATTTACAGCCTTTGCTCAATACTTTGTTGAAGCACCTTTGGCAGCAATTACAGCCTCAAGTCTTCTTGGGTGTGATTCCACAAGCGTGGCACACCTATTTCTGGGCAGTTTCTCCCATTCTTCTTTACAGAACCTCTCAAGTTCCATCAGGTTGGATGGGGAGCGTCTGTGCAAAGCCATTTTCAGATCTCTCCAGAGATGTTCATTCGGGTTCAAGTCAGGGCTCTGGCTGGGCCACTCAAGGACATTCAGAGTTGTGCCGAAGCCACTCCTTTGTTATCGTGGCTGTGTGCTTCGGGTCGTTGTCCTGTTGGAAGATGAACCGTCGCCCCAGTCTGAGGTCCAGAGCGCTTTGGAGCATGTTTTCATCGAGGACGTCTCTGTACATTGCTGCATTCATCTTTCCCTCAATCCTGACTAGTCTCCCAGTTCCTCCCGCTGAAAAACATCCCACAGCATGATGCTGCCACCACCATGCTTCACTGTAGAGATGGTATTGGCCAGGTGATGAGCAGTGCCTGGTTTCCTCCAGACATGACGCTTGGCATTCAGGCCAAAGAGTTCAATCTTTGTTTCATCAGACCAGAGAATTTTGTTTCTCATGGTCTGAGAGTCCTTCAGGCGGGCTGTCATGTGCTTTTTACTGAGGAGTGGCTTCCGTCTGGCCACTCTACCAAACAGGCCTAATTTGTGGAGTGCTGCAGAGATGGTGGTCCTTCTGGAAGGTTCTCCTCTTCATAGAACAACGCTGGAGCTCTGTCAGAGTGACCATCGGGTTCCTGGTCACCTCCCTGACTAAGGCCCTTCTCCCCCGATCGCTCAGTCTGGCTGGGCGGCACAACTCTAGGAAGAGTCCTGGTGGTTCCAAACTTCTTCCATTCCCGGATGATGGAGGCCACTGTGCTCATTGAGACTTTCAATGCTGCAGAAATCTTTCTGTACCCTTCGCCAGATCTGTGCCTCGATACAATTCTGTCTCAGAGGTCTACAAATAATTCCTTGGACTTCATGGCTTGGTTTATGCTCTGATACGCACTGTCAACTATGATAACTTATATAGACAGGTGTGTGTGTGTAGGGTTGCAAAGGGGCGGAAAGTATCCACAAGAATTTTGGCTCGGGAATTTGGGGAATTTTGAAAAAAATAATGTGCCTAAGTTTTTTTGCAAAAGCATATAACAGGGAACTTAAATGTAGTTTAGAACAAGACTATGCACGCCTAGCTTAGCTGGACCCTGAATGCAGCTGGTTGGGAACATTGTCTGCCAGAAACATACACAGTATATATACAGTGGTGATTTTAGGCTGAAATTTCTGGTGGGGCAATTTTGTATGATGTCATGTCACCTTCACAAAAATAGAGGTAGCTGATTATTCTAAGCAGTAGCTCATATAGACCGGTAAAATATGGTATGGGCTGCATTTTGAGTGCCAGCAGGAAACAGAAATCCTATTTCAAATACATTTTACATGCTTCAGTGCGACACAAAGATGTTGCCTATAATACAGCATTAAAGTAAAATGATTGCAACAAATTAAAAAGATTAGACAGACACATAGCTCAAATAACTTGCATAATTTATTAAGCTTGTGGCACACGTGTGGTACACAATATGAAGCAAAAGGCACAACTGAAACAAATAACAGCAACAAAACACTTCCCTGCTGCTCCAAGCAGAGGAAACCGCAGTGGTCAATTCAATGGAGAAGCGCAAAGAGTTCTGCATAAAGCCAGTGCACGCAGCAGCATACATGCTGGACCCAAAGAGGTATGAAAAAAGCATACTCTCTGGTGAAGAGATTAACAGAGTTTACACAGTTATAACTACTATGTTTCTCCACCTGGGTCTTGATGAAGGCAAAGTTCTCGGCAGTCTGGCAAAGTACCGTACGAAGCAAAGCCTTTGGGAAGGAGATGGAATGTGGCAGTCGTGCCAGCACATTTCGGCATCCACCTGGTGGAAGGGACTTTGGATCTGAGACCCTTGCACCTGTAGCCTCCATCATCCTCCAAATCCCACCAACATCAGCCGCCTCTGAGCGCAACTGATCACTGTTCGCAACAGGCTCACCAATGCAAGGGTCGAAAAACTGGTGGCCATCCGGGCAAACCTAAGGCTCTTTGAGCCTGACAGAGCCATCCTCAACAAGCTTGGACAGTGACACCGGAGATGACGACGAGTCAGATGTTGAGGAAGTGGACAGTGAAGAGTACATTGATGAGGTCCAGGAAGAAAGCATTTAGACCTGAAAGGATTCAGGGAAAAACACAAAAAAATATTGGGGTTGGGGGTGGTGATTTTTTTATTCAACGTTCATGTTTTTGTTGTTAGAATAAAGTTCTACTCACAAAATGTAAAAAAAAGTACAAAATGTCATTTTTAAAAGTTGTATTATAAATGTTTGCATGCATGTCTGCTTATGACAAGGTAAATACAGTTAAATTACCCCAGAATTTCCAGTTTATTCCCGTTAATTCCCATGGAAAGTTTCCAACTTTGAATATTCCCGGAATTTTACCCTAGGTGTGTGCCTTACTCAATCATGTCCAATCAACTGAATTTATCACAGGTGGACTCCTATCAAGTTGTAGAAACATCTCAAGGATGATCAGTGGAAACAGGAAGCACCTGAGCTAAATTTTGAGTGTCATGGCAAAGGGTGTGAATACTTACGTACATGTTATGTTTTATTTCTTTATTTTTAACAGATTTGCAAAAATTTGCAAAAAACTGTTTTCACTTTGTCATTATGGGTTGTTGTGTGTAGAATGTTGAGGAACATAATGAATTTAATCCATTTTGGAATAAGGCTGTAACATAACAAAATGTGGAAAAAGTGAAGCGCTGTGAATACTTTCCGGATGCACTGTACTAAGGGAATGAACCAAGCTTCTCATCATCAGGCCAATACATTATTTACAGTGTCACAAAAATAGGACATTTTGTCTGAAGAAACACAACATTATTTTCCTACAAGAGTTAAGGAACCGGTAGGTTAAAGTCTCTGAAAGAAAGACTTGAATACTATTAGGAAAGCTGCTAATACATTTCAGCTAAAAATTTACTTCTGTCCGAAAAACCGTAGTTTAGGCAACAAAACTACTTTGTTAGGTTTAGGAAAAGATCTTGGTGTGGGTTGTTGAGCAGGTTTAACTACAAATTCTGGGGGAGACCAGTCAGCCAGAGTGGTGCTCTAAATAACCCAATGATACGTCTTAACGCTCAGAGTTTGCAAAGGGTCCAGGTAGTGCCAGAGCGAGCTCCAGTGTCCTTAAACAAATGTCACGGACTGCCTTCGTTCACCAACGTAACAGAAATGAGTTCATTCGTTTGCTACTTCCAGACTAGGTTACTGCAATTCTTTATTATACGGATGTTCTCACAAGTCTCTTAAGCCTCTCCACTTGATTCAGAATGCTGCAGCACGTGTATTAACAAGAACTAAGAAAAGGGATCATATCACTCCTGTATTAACTTCTCTGCACTGGCTCCCTGTTAAATCAAGAATCGATTTTAAGGCAATTCTCCTCACCTACAAGGCACTAACTAGATGGCCTAGACTAGTCTAGGATGGACCTGACTGTCGCATTTTAAAAGGGGAAAAAGGACCCAACAGAGAACAAGGGTTAAAAAAAAAAAAGAAAAAAAAACTTTAATACAGAAAAGGCCTGGAATCAAGCAGGAGTGACACTGGAAACCACAATAGGAACAACAGACGAGCCGACGACAAGACAAGGGACACACATGGTTTAAAAAGGCTGGGCAGGTGGAAAAGATAGGACACAGGTGAAAACGATCAGGGACAAGAAACAAAAAACATACCAGCGGAGAAAGTGAAATTAACCCAGGAAGGGAAAAACCCAAAGATGGTGACATTGACTGCTGGGGGACTTCCAGGGACACACTAAGTTCCTCTTGCCTCTTCTCTCTCTCCTTCTATAAGAATTCCCATCTCATTAATGCACATCACTAATTCAGCTTCTTCCACGGAGTGTTAGTGTGTTTATGCCTCGCAGGTTTCCATGGATCATGGTTCAATCTGGACCCTGTTCCTGCCTCCTGCCGTGGCCGTGCGGATATCTGCTGCTGCTATCATCATCATTATGACTCACATTAATACTACTGTCATCATAAACCAACTAGTGTTGCACGGTGTACCGGTACTAGAAAGGTACCGCAGTACCCTTAGGTTGACAACAATACCTTTTTTTTAGTACCGGTACTTTAAAAAAGTAATCAGAGCGTTCACTGATCTCTCGTCATCGGGCCGGGTGAACGCATTGACGCTTAGCTTAGTCTATGTGTGGAAAACACTGTGCAAGTAAATGAAGCATTGTTTGTTTCTGCCCAGCTAGATTGATAATCTGGTAAAAAAGGGAACCTTACAGATGTTTTATTTATTACTATCATTGATCAATATTCCAGTGTCCTATGTGGTATCGTATCGTAAGTAGCGGGTCATTTTGGTTGACATTGTACTATTTTTACAATGTGATCAGTAGAAAGTACAAATATTTGAGTGAAGAAAGAGTCAATGAAAATAAATACTCCAGTGCAGTCTAGATACCCAAAATTTCAGTCAAAGAACATCAACGACA